CTCGGCGCTTGGGTCAGAAGGTGGGCAGATTTGTGATGGGCCTTTGTTCCAAGCGGCGCCTGAAACGGCTCTGCCTCCTGCATGGACAAACTTGACTCTGATGGTCGCGGTTCCATTGTCCTTGAGGAGCAGAGCTGTCCATTGTGGTCCTCAGGCCAGAGCTTTAGGTGATCTTTTACTGTTCCAGACATGGCAGAAGCATATGATGCTGCTGTAAAAAGCAATCCCTGTGCCTAAGAGAATCACTCCTTTCGGGGTAATTTACTGCTCGGAGAAGGAGTGGACTCCCCAGTTTATTTCAGGGTTTTCAGGCTCCTGGCTGTCTCCTTGTCTGTCACTCATTCCCCACCCCCAGGGACTCTCTGATGCAGTGACAGCAACCTCTTTGATCTTCCCCTGTCCTGGGAAATCATGCCCCAAACCCCGCTGTCCTTTTACTGCTCTCTAAATGTGGCTGTCACACTTCACAGGTTGTAACGTAGCAGCCCCTGCAGTTGTTTGATATTTCCGGACCCCTCTCAATCTCTCTCTTGCACGTGCTGTGGCTTGGAGGTCCGGACAGCATTCCAGCCCAGGGTTCAGAATTCAGGGAGGTCCTGCAGTTTTTAGGAAAGGCAGCACTGGGTATTTTCTCCTCTTTTCCTCCCCCCCACCCGCACCTATTAGGTTTTCAGTCTCTTTTCCAGCCTGCATCCTCTCTAATCCATCCGCTACAAGCACCCTCCAGGAGACCCATGGCAGTGGGCAGCAAACGACTCTCCTTGTCTCCTCTCTCGCTCCGTGCTTGTTGCTGTGAGATAAGTGCTTGCTGCAAAGTCCTTCTAGGGATGTTCTGGGGAGGGTGCAGGCACCAGCCTGGGCTTTGGACAGGCTTTATGAGTTTTGTGCTGCTGCTTCAGATGAAACTTGGCTCCTTCTCGCATTCTGTATGTTTTGGTGGCATGGAGCCTGCTGGCCCAAGTGAACGAGCCATGTGCTTCCAGCACTTAAACACTGAGAGCCTGGGGCCAAAATCCTCCTCGCAAGGGTCGCTAGAGCAGGAGGGATCTCATAAAACATAGGGGACTGTGACAACTCTTGACCCATTTCCAGGTCTTCTGCTCTTCAGCCTATCTCTTCTCCCTCCCATTCTGGCATGGAGTCACTGTCCGTACAATTCGGATAATTGTCAGGGCTTTGTTTTCTTGGCTCTCAGGTTCCTGTGTCAGTTAAAGGCCCCTGTCTTGCCCAGGGCTGGGTCCTGAGTAGCTACCAGTTTCCATTCAGTAAGTGGCGACTGCATGCCTCTATCTGCATCGGAGGAGCTGGGCACAGATCACCCCTGAGGTGTCTTTACCTATGTGACTATTATGCCTTTGTTTTCTGTGTACTGCACCTTTCAATCTGTAGGGACCCTCCTGTCTGCAGGGAAAGGCAGGCAGCCAGTTTGTGTTCAGTTCACCCCAGCCTATTTGATTTCCAGGGCAGAGCCCACTAGGGCAACGACAGGTCCTCTTGGGTGAGGGGACGGGGCCACAGATCCCAGCAAATCAACTAAATACCCGGAACCAAGAATGAAAAAACAGGGACGGGTGCAGGGCACAAGGTCAAAACAAGGGATGCAGAGAGGGACCCGTAGCAGAGAATCCCATGCGCCGCCACTAATCCGAGTAGGAGTCCGTGAATGCCAAATTTATGATGGAAGGCAGCGTACAATGCAGGGATCACTGGGTGGAATTCTCTGGCCAGTGTTATGAAGTCAGGCTAGATGATCACCATGGTCCTTTCTGGCCTTGAAATCTCTGGTATAAGCCCTCTTCAGACTTCCATGAACCGAATGTTCTGTTGTGGTGCATGCATTACACACGTCTACACCTGCTCTGCTCTGGGAACTGTTTCCTGCCCATAGCAGCAGGTGCGCCAGGTCAGGAATATTTCATTCCTGATTTTGCACATGCTACTTCCCTGGGAATCCTTCATTTCCAGATGTGCATCTCCACCATGCAAGAGGTGTAGATAAGCCACAGAATTTTAATGCAGATACTGCCCATAGGGTGATCTGCTCTCACTTTAAATAAGAGGGCGGGTGGTGGTTGGTTGGTTCGTTATACACAAGGTCCAGATGACTGAGGTTTTACTGCACTCACAGCTTTTAAAACAATTATAGGTGAATTACACACCGTTCAACAGATTACTTCCTTATAGCTTTTCTGATTTAAATTGTTATTGCCCTTGCTCTAAATGGAGTCAGTCTGAAGCTACTGGGACATAAAATAATAAAAATGCTAGGCACGTATCTATTGCCTTTCAGCTGGGGCAGGGACTGACTATATTTCTGTTCAGCGTATATACAGCTCCTAGCACAGCAGGGTCCCCGTTTACACGTGATGCCCCGGACACAGCCTCCCTGCAAGCAATAGCAGGACTCCCAAAGCACTTTACAAAACCACCCCTGGTTCCTATCTCCACTTTTCAGAGAGGGATGCTGAGGCAGAGACATTGAGCCAGGACTTTGCTAAACTCACACAGCAAATTGGTGTCAGTCAGGAACAGAACCCAGATGGCTGGATTCCCATTCCTCTGCTCTATTAGAGACTGGGACAGGAAAGCAGAACAAGCCAGTCTAAGGTGTTGTCTATAATAAGGCAACATGCACTGGCATAACTCCATCAGTGTGGTTACACTGGGACGAATTTCCTGGATGTGGACAGGGCCTCCCCTGGTGTGACTTGCGCCTCTTTCGATCCCCTTCGGCATGTACGCTAAGTTACACACCCTTGCCCGCATGCGGCCCTCCATTCAGCCAGGCTCCGTGGGCCCAGGTCGGAGGTGGTGAGATACATGTTGGGCAGTGGGTGTGAATTTTCAGGAGTCTGACTGAGGCTGAGTGCGGCGGAGCTGGTGGAAGAAAGCGTAAGTGACACCAGTTGGATTCCTTCCCGTTCCTTGACGCCAGGTCTGCGCTACAGAGTTAGGCTGATCTTGCTTCATCGCAGCAGGGTGTGACAATCCGCACCTTTGAGCGACATGGGGAAGCCCGCCTAACCCCGGGTGTAGACAGCGCCAGGTCAGTGGAAGAATTCTCCCGTTGGCCTAGCTACCGCTTCCTGGGGAGGTGGAATAATGACCGCGACGGGAGAACCCCGCCTGTCACTGCAGCGAGTGTCGCTGCAGCGTTTCGAGTGAAGACAGCCCCAGAGCACAGAGGTCAGTTCTCTTCATTCCATCCCACCCGGGTGTAGCGCCACTGGTGTCAGTGTTCCTGATTTACACCAATCGGATCCACAAAGGGTTTGGGGTTGGGGAGAGAGCAGGGCTGCTCTTTGGCAGTTGAACAATAGCTAAAAATAATGTTGTGGTTTCTTCCAGTGTTATTAATGCAACTAAACTGCTCCGGGGCTGGAAGGTGGCCTGCTGGGACTGTATCGCCTAAGCGAGCTCCTAAATCTGAGTTCTATAAACCCCGTTAAACAGGGAGGCTAGGATGGAAACTGTGACAGTTAGCGCTGTCTCAACGGGGGGCTGGTAGCAGGAGCTGATGCTCTGATGATGATGTAATTGTTTGAACTGGCGAGAAAGCGAGAGCTTTGCTGGTGCCAGAGATTCCGAGGCGTTGTTAGAACTGGGCTTGATCCCTGTAATTGCCTTTGATTGAGTGTTGTTTTTCATCTCTCATTCCTGCACAGGCTCTGTGCTCTAGCCCAAGCTATTTCTAGGCTCCGAGCCTGGCTATAAAAAGCATCAGCTGAGCTAAAAGTTTGTGGGCGTTGCTAACAGATCTGCACCCACTATCAGACCCGAGCACTGACTGGCTCGCGTAGTCCGGCGTCCCGGGCATGCATAGGTGGCGTGAAGAGAGGAGAACAGCGAGAGCACTGGGAAATGTTTCCAGCCCTCTAGCTCCAAGAGTTTTGGTGCTAACCCCATCTCACGCTGACTGGTTGCTGGACAGATTTGTACATTGTCCAGTGCCCCCATCCCAGAAGGCCCTTGTGGGAGTGTGGGGCTGATAACGATACTAAGGCAAAGTGGAGATTTGTACCTTGGGCCGGGAGGGTCCTAGTAAGCAGACCGGCCTGCTGGTGAGACTGACAGGCCCCCCCCAAAAGGTGGAAGGACAATAAATCTTCTAGCCTGTCCGTGTGGCTGGGCGGCTGCGTAGGATGAGCGTGTGTGTGTGTGGGGGGGTGAATTTGTGTGTGGTAGGGAGTGTGAAGGGAGGCGTGCGGGTGCCTTCTCCCTTCGCTGGTACGTGCCTTCTCGACAGAGCACTTCTGCAAACAGAAATCCAGGGCCAAGTGGGAACATGAGTAACCAGGAGTGAGGAGGGAGAGAAAACGAACAGGCATGTGTGATCCACTCTCACGTCCCTCTGCTGGGATTTCTCACCGGAATAGCCCTTCACATGCCACAGGATATCTCCCCAATAATGGGGGCAGGGCCCCTCCGCATGGACGCTCCCAGGTTACACGTTCCCCCTCGTGTGCTGTACCATGTTAGCCACGCGTCACTTTCCGTCATACCCAAAGGAGAGAGGGATGGCAGAAGGGCACAGTGGGCTAAGTAGAGATGGAGCAGCCTAAAACCGGAGGCCAAAGGTGGAAATAGCGGCAATACTGAGCTCCCTAGGAGGAGAACTGGCCCAGATTCAGAGCTGGCTAAACAGGATGGAGTGTGACAGAGGCTTGGGGTCGCTGGCTGGGGCTGCAGGTTGAACTCCCCAGGGATAAATACAACGTGCTGGGTACATTTCAGCAGCACTCTGGCAATTGAGAGAAGCGCTCTGGGTTGGACAGGACCTAACTGAGCTGCTGGGATCTGAATGTTGCTGCAGCTCTTTCATTTAGAGGGACTGCTAAATAACGCCGCATCACGGGGACCCATTTCAGGGGACTAATTTCAGGGTGTTTCATCCATGACACAATTCCCTTCAGGTCTTGGCTCTGCCACAAACCAACGTGGTTTTTTTTACATTTTCCTCCTTGCCTTTCATGATTCCAGTCGTCTTATTTTCCCCACAGAAACGACTAAGAGCTCGACAGCCAAAGGGGCAGGCTTCCCAGGAGCTGACGGCCGTGAAGACAGAGAATCATGGTGAGGTGTACATCTGTTTCCTCACACGGCTTTTCAGTGCACCCACCCCTTTAAAAGCATTAAGCTAAGACCGGGTCCAAACAGATGGGCCAATGTGTTCCATGCGCAGATGCACCTGTACCTGCTAAGACAGGCAGCACTGTGAGCTCTGATGCAGCCAAAGTGGCACTGTGACTAGTGAGTCTTCTATTCTGGTCCATACCAAGGCCATCTCATCTGTGTTTGCTCAGAAAGCTCCTCCGGACGGGGAGGCGATGTGTCTGAGGATCACTGGGGTAAAAGGGCTTTACTGACTCAAGTTAAATCAGAGTGGATTCTCTCACTCCAGTTTCCCTGGGGGTCTTGGCATTAGTCCCACCTGAGATGGCGTCACAGAGCCACAGTATTGATGCTACACGCCAGGTTTTAAACAGCCATTTGGAGGATCCCCTTCTATGTGGCAGACCCTCAAGGGGTCCCACTCTTCCTTAAGGCAGCCTCGGTGCCTCCAAAACTGAGCCTCCGGGCTTCAGCACTCCTGAGACACACGTCCCACTGAGATAAATCGCCGGTCAGAGTCTTGGACACACTTCAGGGCTCAGTGCGCCTCGGCAAGTATTGGCACAGACACCAGGCAGCCTTTTCAGAACAGAGGCAGATGGAACGCAGCACTGGGAAGGCCTGAGATTAGCATAGAGGAATAAAGGTTAAAACACCATCTCTTCTGGCCACACCAGCCTTCCATCTAGTGTCCTTTCCTGGCTCTGGTTCTCCACGTCCCTGTGTCACTCCCAGGTGAGAGCTGCTGAGACCCTTCAAAAGCCAGCTCTTATCCCAGCCACCTGACACCTTTTGGTCCATTGTCCACCTCCTGCAGACCCGTGCTGAGTTCACACGCTCCGCCTGCAGGAGAGTCCCATGGATAAATGTCAGTTGCTCAGTCTTTGGGGCTTCCGTTGTCTTTGCGGACCCTCCATTGATATGGGTCGGTTTCAGCCAGTACTTGACTGGCCCATTTATTTCACCCCATACAGATACCTGACACAACAGCCCGTGTCTCTTTCTCTGCCCCGCCTGGGGAGCAGTGCAAAGTAGAAAGAGAAACGGAGGCACTCATGGGAATCATAAAATATTACAGGAGAGTCCCATTTCATCACAGATGGTTCCTTAGAAATCGACAGAGTATTTGGCATGCGTTCCTGGAAATGCATCCTTGTTCTAGTGGAAATATTGCAAACTTGTATATGAGAAACTGCACAATGCAGAGCCAGGCTAGAAATAAAGATCTGTATCCTCATCTGGCATAAATTAGCCCATCCTCAATGACTCAATGGAGTGACGCTGAGTTACACCAGCCGGGGATCTATGCTGAAACTCCATCCATGTCATGCTGCCACCACAGAAGCCCCTCTACCAATGAAGCAGGCTCGGTATTGGCAGGGCATCAGTGTAAGTTTTCCCTGTGCTGCCCAGGAATGAGAATCAAAGAGATTCACAAACAGTTTCCAAGATGAACAGCAAATTCCACATGCGGCTGTTCATGAACTGATCTTATTAGTCACTCTCAAATGCCTGGGTGACAACACTGGTCGTGAAAATCTGAGCAAGGTCTGAAAATGTCACGAATTCCTAAGGGAAGCAAGTTAAAAAACCAAGCTGCTTGCCCAAGGGAAGTGGGTAGGTAGAACTCTGCCTTAGTGTTTGTTCATGGACAGAGAAATCGATGACTCAAGTCTAGTAATATGACCAGGCGAACACCACAAACGGCCCGCTCAAAAACTGCACTAGCTGGCCAAAACGTCCCACCAGACAAACAATCCCGCCCCTAAGGAAGCAGTCGGTGCAGTAGTGAGGAGGATATTCGCTGGAGAGGATGGTGTCTGTATGCTAGTAGGAGGAATTACCTTATGGCAGTGTTTCTCAAACTGGGGTCGCCGCTTGTGTAGGGAAAGCCCCAGGCCGGTTTGTTTACCTGCCCCGTCCGCAGGTCCCACTGGCCGCGGCTCACTCCTCCAGGCCAGTGGGAGCTGCTGGAAGCAGCGTGGGCTGAGGGACGTACTGGCCGCCGCTTCCAGCAGCCCCCATTGGCCTGCAGTAGCGAACCGCGGCCAGTGGGAGCCACGGGCGGGGCAGGTAAACCAACCGGCCTGGCCCTCCAGGGGCTTTTCGTACACAAGTGGTGACCCCAGTTCGAGAAACACTGCCTTACGGGTATGTGTATTGTTGTCCTGTCCGGAGTTGACACACTCTAGCCCTTATGTGAATGGCTGGCTCAGGCATAGAACTACAGACAAGCTCAGAGATAAGTGCTCTCTACCAGCTGAGTTATTCAGCAGTATTTGTCATTGGCTAAAGTCCCATTTAAATAGCTTCAGTCACCCAATCAGGAATTGGACACTATACCATGTGACCACTCTCGCACAACAAACTGTGACTAGCAGTCAGCTGTAGCCAACTGTTTGCAAGGCACTTGGTGGCTGGAAATGATTCGCTCCAACTAGTCGTTGAGCAATGAATGCACTCACAGAAACTGGGAACGATTGACAGGAAACAAAGACCTAAATGAGACATGTTTGTGGTACAGGGAGAAATAGCTAGCCACACCCCTCAGCCCTGAGCTGGAAGGGTCAGTCCCAGGACTGGGAGGCCAAGGGAGTCGCCTGTTTCTGTTCGATACTTCTCCCCATTGTGCAGATTGCCAACACGATGCCCATTGGTGCTAATTAGTGCTAGGACTAGTGTGGGTAATTGTCCAATAGGAACTAGACTGAGATCATAGTTTATGCGGCCACCAAACCGCCCCCAAGCGATAATGAGCTTGACCAGGCCTGGATTCGAACTGGTGACCGAGGAGAGAACAGCCCCAGAATCCTGTCAGCAAAACCAGCCAGCCACGGTCTAGCCATTTCTGTTTAATTTGCAGTCATCGCAGCTCCCTTGCACGAGGATGTGGAGACGACGAAGGCCCTGCTGCTGGAGGAGCAAAAGAGGGAGATTGGGAGGCTGCTACAAGGACATCAGGAGGAAACCGAGAGGCTGAAGGAAGCCCACCAGGCAGAGACCCAGAGACTGACCCAAGACGTTAAAATCCAGGTTGGATCAAAGTGGCTTCTCCACCCCAAGAGTGTCTGTCTAGTGTCCCAGCACAGTCACCCCAGTCCTGGGCATTCATGCTTCTGCTTCCTGACCTTCACACTGCACCACACCCACAGGTTCAGAGCTAGGGAGTAGTATATAGCAGGACCTTGATGACCTGATAGTCTCCAAAGCCACCAGACAGTGTGAGATCCTTTGGGTGGTCAGCTAGGAGGCTTTGACATTCCCCTTCCGGCCCTGATCTCGCATTCAGAGCCAGCTGGCCTGCTCCCCCAGTTATAGACACCGATCTGCCTTCCCCAGGGTTAGCAGACTCAGTATGGTAGGTTAGTGTCCTCAGATTTCCACCTCTAGACACCTAAGGCCACGAGTAAGGCTACAGTTTTGTCATGGAGGTCACGGAAATCGTGAATTTGAATAAAGTCCGTGAAATCTCAGAAATGGCTGTAAAAACACATGTGACCTGGTGCACCGGCGTCGCAGCGCTATTCAGGTTTGGCCCCTCCGGCTCCATCTAGGGAGGGGCGGACAGACCCAACCTGAGACGTGCTGTGACCCATTCCCCAGCTCACAGTGCCAGGAAGCTGTGTCTAGGCCCAAGACACCACAGCTGCTGCTGCAAGGTGAGCTCTCCCCCTTCTCTGACTTGTTTTTTCCCCTGCACTCTGTTGTGAAATTTACATGCCAAAATCGTGGCCTTCGTCGTGAGCGAAACTGAGCTCAGTGGTTCACTCCTTGTCCCCCTTTTACTGATCTCGCAGAGCTCAGCAAAAAGGGCAGTTGTCCAGGAAATCCTGGAAAAGTCCAGGGTGTCGCAGGTCAGCTGTCCTAGCAGAGCTGTGTGTGATGCTCTTTCCCCTTCCCCCATTGTATATGGTTGCCATATTAACCCCTCACTGTCATAAGTACCACAGTTAAATTCATTCATGAAAATAGGAATAGGAAACTGGATCTGCCACCCAGGAGATAAATAAGAGACTGCACAGGCAGGTACACCTATTTCTCGGAGATCCCCGGATACTTAGGGCTTGTTGCTCACTCTGTTTCTAGGTGGAAAAGGAAAGAGATTTAGAGCTTAACAAGCAGCTCTCCAAGCAGTTCGACACACTGAACAGAGAGCATGAAGAGAACCTCCGAGGTAAGGCCCCAGTCTCTCCTTTGCTGGGCGCTGGCTTCCCGCTACGCCCCCACCGCTAGGGTTTAAACTTCTCACAGGGCTGCTCTTGCATCTCTTCTCCTCTCCAACCTCCTTGGCTCTCTTGAGCAGAGGCCGATCGCTCCTGTAATGAATATTCAGCATTTTCATTAGATGTTGTGTGTCCAAGAGACAGGGCCATCCTTACCCAGACACAAAGTACGCAGCTGCGTAGGGCACCAGGGAATTTGGGGCACCACATTTCCTGGTGCCCTGCGCAGTTGGGAGCTGCTCCAGCCCCTGCTCCGCCCCAGCCCTGCCTCTTCCCACCCCTGCCCTGCCTCTTCTCACCCCTGTTCCACCCCAACCCTGCCCCACCCCAGCCCTGCCTCTTCCCGTCCCTGCTCTGCCCCCACTCCTCTGAGGACTGCAGCAGGGCTGGGCCTGCACTCACCGGCGGCAGGAAGTGCAGCGACCTGGCCCCAGCCGTGCCGCTGGGGGGTGGTTCCAGCCAGCCCCGCCACCCCCCCCCACAGAGGCCTGGGACCAGCCTCCTCCCCCCCCCGGAGGCCTGGGGCCCCACCCACCCCCGCGAGGGGGCTGCGTAGGGCCCCAGAATAGCTAGGGACGGCCTTGCCAAGAGATCTGCCCGCTCTTTGACTGACCCCATTGGCAAGCACCTCCCATGCCCTCTGGATTACCATACTGTCACCTGTCATGCTCTCAGGGCTGCCGTGGTGCTCCCTTACTGTTGTGTTGTCTGCACCTCTCCAAGCCATGAGGGAGAGGACCCTGGGAGGGGCATGGAGAAATGCTGGCAGGAGATATTACTCTGTATTTCATTAACTAGCATGGAGCGTTTGTAGAAACCCAACCCAAGGTCTGGAAAATTGACCCCACTGGGGTATTACGCTGCCAGTGCCTCTGAAATAAACCTAAAATTCTTCAAAAAGGAGACTCCTTCCATCGGAGCAGGATGCTTCTCTGGGAGCTGGTAGCGTTTACACTGCAGCCAACCATGCGAGATGTGGTCACCCAGTCTCAGCAGTAAGGCTGTGAATGGTGATGGGGTCATTCCCTCTCTTTCTCCTCTCGCTACGGGCGGCATATTGCCTCTCTCCTTAGCGTAGCAATCACGCAGCTAGCAGCCCTGTGACTTTAGCTGAGCGAGTCCTCCAGGGAGCTCCCGACTGCAAGGCTGCCCCAGAAAACGGCATTTCCTCTGCTTACAGTCCCAAGCCTCTGCTGACTCTTAGCCCAGAGTAACTCGGGTCCCCCCTTTATGGCAGTGCCATCTACTGCCATTCTGTGCGGGTAAGGGGCTTGGGCAGGGCTTGCTTTCCTGTCTCCTGATTCTGACACTGATTTTATGTTTTCCCTGCAGAAGTCCAGAGGGCCCATGACCAGGAGATGCTGCTCTTAAGGGAATCCTACCAAACGGCCCAGTCTTCCTTACAGGTGCTGGCCCCCTTGCTTTGGCTTGCTGAGCAATTCCCCGTGGAGCAGAGCTCTTTAGATTCAGCGCACAGGTCTGAGGGTGCTGGGAGAAGCTTGCAAGGGACCTGCCTGAACTATCCCTGGGGTAAAACAGCACCGACTGCCCCTCACTTTCACAAGAGCCAAATTGAGAAAACAAAGGTTGTTTGTGCTGCCCGGAGCCCACCACCCTTGGAGTAACCCAGGCTGGCTGTTTGTGGGAATGAGCCCAGAGGGGCCTCTCACAAAGTGATCTTGCCTTAATTTTGCAGCAGTCAAATAGATATTTAAATCAAAATGGCCACCTGGACTTTAAATTCCAAAACAGAAAACAGTCCTTCACTGGCTCAATCAAAAAAGTGCAGAGTTCCCCGCAGCCCCAGCACCTTCTTCACCCTCGCCACAGCATGCCAGTCCTAGCAGCCAGCCAGGTGCTCCCTCTGGCTCCCCTGTTCCTGCCCTGCTCTGTCCAGGGTGCTAGCTTCCCTCCACCTGCAAGGCACCCAGTCCTCCCTCCTTGAGTTCCAGGGAGTCACTGACCCTGCTCTGGCCTGCAGCCTGATTGTCTGCTGCTTCCAGTCCTCTCCTATTGGCTGCTTCCTGCATAGCCTGTCTAGAGCTCTATTAACCCCTTGCATGCTGGTATGGGGCAGACACCCCATCACACCACTATTGACATAGGGGACAGGTGGGTTGTGTTTGGAATGTCTCCATGTTGTTAATGGTGCTCAGAGCTTAGGTTCTGGTTAGGGCACATCTCTACTGGCAGGCAAGTCTGTAACCGGAACACTCCAGAAGTGAAACTGGTGCGAACAAGCCGTCTAACTGCCATACTGTGACTCAGAGCAGACTTGGCAGAGTCCGGGAGTCTGTTCTTATGCAAGCAACCCAGGAAGTGCTAATTATACAGAGATCTCTCCCGTGGTTACCGACTGACCCATTGTAACCAGGGAAGCCAGGATGGCAGAAGGCATTATAGTGGGAATTGCTCCCTGCTGCCATTAAATACTGTATTAGGGAACTGCTACATGGGACTTTGTTATTCATTGTGAAATGTCTTGCAGTTTGACTCCTGCCACCTCTGTACAATGCAATAGGTAATTTTCTTCCCTTATATAAACAGTGCCCCTGCTGGAGGGGAGGTCATAAAACAGGACTCCTAATCACATCCCTCTTCCTTTCTCTTCTGCCCTAGGAGACGATTGACAGGTTAAATTCCCAGCTGAAATCCTTCCAGGAGAAAATGAAACGGGTGGAGGAATCGATCTTGAGCAGAGACTATAAGAAACATATTCAGGTGCAGGAAAACAAACAAACTGTGGCCTCTTGGGAAGGTATTGCTTTAACCCGTCATTTGCCGGGGTCTCCGAGCAAGCCTGTTGGATTCGCAGTTGTGGCAATGGACAGCTCAAACTTAGTCATAGAAGCATCTGTATGCTATAAATGCTTTGTCACCTAAATAGAGGCCTCCCTGGAAGACTCCCCATCACTGGATCTGGAGAGGGCAGTGTTCGTAGTGCCTGGTAAACCTGTAGTATGGTTGAAGTAAGCAAAGGGATAGGAAGTAGATCATAAGAAAATTAAGGGTACATATTATGTGCATTATGCAGGTAGTTCAAGCTCCTTGCACTCAGGTGCCTAGTGCAAATGCCGTAAAGCTGTAGGGTATAGATGAACACTAGTAAGCACATTTTATGGGGTAAGAATCCTATCAATCCAGGACTGAGAACACTGGACAATTCTGACTCCTAACGGTCGTCATCTTGGCTCATCTCTGTTCAGGAATAAAGAACCAAACCAGAACCATGCATTAGCCCCTCCAACCTCTCCAGTCAGTGGGGGACTCATGCGTTTTCTTTCTCCCCTTCTAGGATTATGGGAGCCCCAGCCACTTCTGGGAGCAAGAACTGGAGAGTCTGCATTTTGTCATAGAGATGAAGAATGAACGCATCCATGACCTGGACAAGAAGCTGCTGAACTTGGAAACAGTGGTGGGTTTGATGTGGTTCTACCAAAAAGTGCATGGACTCCTTTCCAGGGGCAGCAATAGCGGAGATGGAAAAGCACAGCCCGCAGGAGAGCATTCCACCTACCTGAATGCAAACCGCGTTCTCCAGGCGCATTCCCCTCTGGCTCACCTGCTGCCTAGGGGCAGCTTTCTGTCCTGGCTGGCCTCTCAGCCGAGCTAACGTGTCGGGCGCAGACCCAGTGGGGGAAGCCAGCAGATGGAGGACTGCACTAATTGGAGCTGGGTGCTTGCTGGCATACACAGCAGGTCGCTGCTATGCATCACTAAACTCGCATAGAGGCAACTTTTGTCAGTAACCACCAACGTTTTGACGTTGGCGCTTAGGCAGGACCTCATTAACCAGCGTAGGGATCGTCTGTTGCCAAATCCATGTCACTTCTGACCCTTGACCTCTCCTTTGAATCCTCCCTTCCCAAACCCTTCTGGGATGTCACAGATGGAGAGGAACCTGCTTCTGGAGGAGAAAGTGAAAACCCTTCAGCAGGAGAATGAGGATCTGCACGTTCAGACACAGAACCACTTGACAATGACAAGGTAACATCCGCAGCCTAGTGCAGAACAAGCTACCTGCTGCCATCCTCGGCGCTCACGGGCTGAGCTCTGGGCTAGGTTTGAATTGCACTCAGGACAGGCTGTTTTCTGAATTGTAGGCTGATAACTAGGTGCTGGGACAGGACCCAAACGGCAGGTGTGATCATGGCATCAAAGCTAGCACAGAAGCTGCAGGTCAGAGGGCGATAGCTGAGTAGAGCTATGATAGTAGGGGCTGAGATGCACAAGCCAGGCCCCCTGTGGGTGTGTGACTTTGCAGAGCACTGGTCTGGTTCAGGTGAACATGTACGAACGTGGGCTTGCCTAGCACCCACCTGGCTCGGGGGGTGTGGGAGAGGGAGAGAGACCATGACCTTGCACAGCACCAGTCTGGCTCTGGTGAGAGTGTGTATGTGTGAGGAAGACTGTGACTTGGCACAGTACCTAACTGGCTTTGGGAGTGCCTATAATCCACCCCACCCCTTTTCAAGACCATTCCATGCCCCCCCTGCCCTGGCCTCTTTTGGCAGTGATCAGAACGGCTGGTGGGGCCCTGATCCCCGTCTTTATCTCACTCCGGGGTTCTTACCACTTCAGCTCATAGATTCATAGATTCTAGGACTGGAAGGGACCTCGAGAGGTCATCGAGTCCAGTCCCCTGCCCGCTTCATCACCTGCTGTTTCTTTGCAGGCAACTGTCTGACAAGCTCCTGGTGGTTCGGGAGGCCCTGGACAAGGAGTCCCAGCTGCGGGAGCAGGCGCACCGGGAGAAGGAAGAGCTGCTGTACAGGGTCCTGAACGGTGACTCTTCCCCCACCTTCCCCATCCCCTCCAGCGAGGTGCCACTCATCGCCACGTAGCGCTCCGGGAAGCGGCGACGGAGGCTGCTGGGATGAGGACGCAAGCGAGGGGCACCAGAGACTCTTCCACCCCTCGTTTTAGCCCTTCCTTTATTGCACAGGCCCAGAGCTGCTGTCATGGGGACTCTGTCCGGTAGAAGGGGAGTTCCTCAGACTTCTAACCTTGGGACGGCCGCCCTCTAAGTGAACAGTGCAGTATTTCTCGGGACCTTTTCAAAGTGCTTTTACCCCTCCTGTGTGTCCCCCTGTCTGACTCTGAACATGGGGGAGCTTACAAGACACCCCAGAACCTAGACCCGTGCGGCGCGAGATGTCCTGGCTGCCCCTGGCTTCACATCTCAGTCAGTAGCGGTGGTTACAAGGGGAGCCAAAGGGCTCTCCGGTGCATTTGGGGTGGGGAAGAAGAGGTCTGTTTCCCGCACTGGTTTGCCCAGGTGAATCCGAACCGGAGCTCTGCATCTGAACAGCCTCCGCTTTTGGGGAAGTTTGGATCAGGCTCCAGGGCTGAAGTTCGCCGCTCGGGTCCAGCTCTAACCAGAACCAAAGAGAAGGATGCTCGTCTCAGATGGAGCTGTTGAAAACAGCACCTAGCTGAGTCCAGCATCAGCCCCCGCGGGGCGGCTTTGTGGTGTACACAGGCACGCAGCGGGTCAGGCGACCCCAGGCGTCTCTCTCTGGTATTCTTCGAGAACAACCCCGCCAGGAAAGTTTTGAGACTCTCGGAGCTGGAATGTGCTGCTCTGTGTGACCCAGGCTCAGGGTTGTCACGGGCAGAAGACGGTGCCCTCTGCTGGCCAAGAAGCAACACCGGCTTCGGAAGAAGCAGCAAGCCTGCTGTTCCCAGCTGGAGAACCGGCTCCCATGGCCTGTAGCAGGCACCCAAAGTGGTGCCCGAGGCGGCAAAGAGGGGGAATGACTGCTGGGCCGGGTGAGGATGGGGAAAGGTAATGCAGTGGGCAAGAGGTGGACAGAGCTGGTCTCTCCCTGGTGCACTCACTGCCCGGGCTTTCTGGGAGCAGATGGTTCCAGCTCCATAGGGTGGCCCATGGACCCCCGTCCCTGGAAACTGCATGGCAGTGGCAACCAGAGCTGGACCAGTGAGCGCCTTCAGCAGGAGTTTGGGGAGCAGCAGAGGGGAAGAGGGATTGTAGCAAACATGCCCCCGTCTCAGAAATCCCAGCCCTGCCTGCGGATGGATCATGTGGTCCAGTAGCGCCTCTGGGGCGGAGATGGGGGGGCAGAGCACTGCCTCCCAGGGCTTCCCTCCCTGGAATCTCCCCTCCTCAGGGGCTGCTGCAGGTGCCTGTCCCCTTCTGCAGCTCCTCTTCACAGTCCTCCAAGCTTCAGTCCAAATCCCCCTTAGACTTTGCTGTCACTGCCTCCTGCTTCCTCCTGGCTCAGGACAACAGTCCTATTGCCCCAGGCTTCCTCCTGGGCCAGCACCTTCTAGTTCTGGCTCTGGCCTCCTCTCTGCCCTTAGCCCAAGAGAAGACAGTCCTAGGTCTACCTCTCTCCTGGGTCTCCTCCCTGGCCTTTCTTTCTGCTCTGCTCCTTCCCTTATGAAGGCCCAGCTCCTGTTACATCTAACACCCCTCCAGGTGCCACCCAGTGGCCTAACAAGGCTCAGGCTGGGTTAACCAAGCTGGAGGTTTATACCCCATCACAGCGGCGCCAGATCTCCTCTTACGCTTGGGCTCCTTGACATCACTCTGGCAGGGTAAAAGGGCCGGAAAGAAGGCACAAATGTAATTTATTCCCCCTTTAAGACTCCTTTCCACTTGCCAGTGTGGTGTCAAGGAGCCTTTTTGTAAATATGACTCTGGCCCCTTGACGTCATATTGGATTCACTCTGTACAAAGAGCCCCTGATGCCTCCCGGTCGTTCGCAAAGTATTGTCCGCTGCACTCTACACTCACCCCCCCTCTCTCTTGTAGCTCCAGGACACCTCCTGGAAAAAAATCTTGGTTCCTTGCGAGCTCACCTGCTCCTGTTGTTTACTCCCCTTGTGAACCTTTTAATTCTCCCCACCATTGCTGTGGAAATGACGGTGATCCTGGAAGAACTCACAATGGCTGTGAACAGGTGGCTGTACACGCCGAAAACCCCACGCTCACTTCACACCGGAGTCACTGTCACCGAGCACCTTGTCCACTCAGGGCCCATACACCACGGAACTCTGAAAATTCTCAACCAGTGAGCCCCGATGCCTCCAGCTCCTATTGTCCTGTTTGTCAAGTGGGAAGAGTTTGTTCCAAGTTTGTTCTCACGCAACCTGACGGCCAGGCTGGGCAGACCCACCCCTGCCGGCCTGGCCGAGATTTACCTGGGAGAATGGCTGTTTCTTTGGTGAGAGTTTGGCCCACGCGGAAATTTTGTCGTCATTTCTGTGCTAGCCGGACTCTCCAAGTTGGAGAGTCACGCGATTCCGTTCAGCCCACTAAGAGACCTGGGCAATTTGGAAATTTTCTTCAGGTGAAAATTGGCCATTTTCCCAAAGAAGGGTCACCACTTTCACACTGAAATGAGGTTTTTCTGTGTCTGGGAGCTGCCTGTTTCCACGGGGGGGAATTCAAGATCTTCCCCCTCCTTCCCTGTCCCTTCTCTTCCTCCTCACCTTTTCATTTTCTCGTTCTCTTCTGTGCCTCTTTCCTTTATAGGCCCCAGGAGGGTCTTTTAGACATTGCACAAAAATGCTCTAGATCACTGACACCTCAACTAACAAGCAGTTCTCCTCGACCATCTTTGAGAACAAATGGGGCGGGGGGACGGAAGGAAGCTGTGTCTAGAACATGAACTGCTACAGGGTCAATCCTCGCTGACAGCCGAGTGTTGGCACAACGGGGGCTGGGGGAAAACCAGTCTGTTCTGCTCTGCGTAGCTCAGTCTGTGAGAGGGATAGACAAGATCCCCTGAAGATATCTCAGACCTTTGCCCGTCTTTCTAGAACCCCCATAAGCCCTGGGGCCTGAGTGAGGGGAACTTAGCGGGGCTCTCGAGAACAATGGAGAAGTCATTGCTCACTCAGTACTGACTAATTACGGCTCCCCGGCTGCCCCATCTTGTACCTTTCCTTGCGGCCCCATTTCTTACGGAGCCCAGGGCTAGAGAGAGACGGTGCATGGCAGCAGGCAGGGGCAGCTCTGGTGGGCTCCATTCTCCTTTCGCTTACACTGACGTGACAGGAGCAACTACCTCAGCGTTACACCAGCCTAAGGGAGCGCTGACGCAGGCTCAAGAACTAGGTAGAGAAGCACCTGTCTAAGAGCTCAGACTAGGCCACCCCAGGGGTCCCTTCTGGCCTTACAGTCTATCAATCTTGGCTCCGAGAAGCGCGATGGTCATAGAAGGCGTCACGACAACGTGGCCTCCTGAAGTGTGTGCTCCCACGTCCCTCGCCGAGGGCTCAGAGCCCCGAGACTCTCCCGGGGCCCATCTGAGATGAGGAACCATCCGTTAGCAAAGCCTGCACTGATGGCAGTGAGTTAATCCCCCCTGCCGCTGAATGAGAATTTGAACCATGTTTGGGTCCCACCCTACAACTCGCTCAGAGTACAGTGGCTGGGACGAGAATCCCTGGGCCTGTGCTCTGCTAGGGGTCCAGTCATCACAGGGTCTGGCATCCATCCGAAAACGTGGCTGATGTCCCTTTGCCACAGTGATACCAGCTCCTCCTGCGGAAGCCGAACAGAGGCTGCTAACTTTGGGGTAGCTGTTACTCCTCTAGGGGTGGCTTCTTTCTAAGTCCCCGTTGTGTTTGTAGTGGTATGTGTAAAGCCAGCTCCATCGCTGGCTGTCTTCTCTTTCCTTCCCCCCTCCTCCGTGCCCTAATGTGCCCAGAGCACTGACGGTGCTCCACGCAGACCGGTAAAGCGGGGCGAGAGGAGATGGCGGCCCAGAACGGCATGGCTGGGGAGCTGACACGCACTAATTGGATTCACGCAAGCACTTTCCACTGGGCGTGCGAATGCTGGCGGGAGAGACCAAGTGGAGCGTTAGCTGGTGCCACAGACTGCCCCTAAGCTTTGCACCAGGAGTGTGGAGCTGTGTGTGTGTAACGCCTGTGTGCTAAAGGCTGTAACAACACAGTTCTGGGAGGGGAAGATACCCAAAGAATGAAATGTCAGTATTTTCCACGTGGCGGCGTGTGCGTTTCTTTGGCTTGCGGCACGGATTGCGTCAATGGCTCATGGACGGTGTCAAGGGTTGTGTCTTGAGGTCGCCCCCTTGGGGTCAGGGCAGGCAGCTACTTACCTCATAGATCGTTCCCTGGGCAGCAGCAGTCCTGTGGCCTGGCCCGGAGGTAGGGTACAGCCCTTACAGTCCGCCCTTTTCCAGGGGTATAAAACAGTCCAGCCAAAAAAGAAAGTAATTCCCAGGCCCAGAAGGGGCCGGGATCCTCCCGCACACAAAGGAGGGAAGCAGCCTCTCCGGCTCCGCGGGAAATGCTGGTTCCCACCCTTCGCGTGGCCAAGGTTTTTCAACAAAAGAAACAAACCAGCCCATCTTCTCTCCTCAGGTTGGCGGTGCTCCCAAACTGCTCCTCAGCATCTCCTCCCCGGCCCGGGAGCGCTAGCTGGGCTGACAGGTGCGGCCGGTTGGGGCTGATTCTGACCACAGGAGTTCTTTAGCCTTTTCTTGACCGGTGGGAAGGTTGTAACTATCGACCCACCACAGATGGGGGCAGAGAACCTGCCCTGTGTTTGGGAGGGAGGGCGTTAAACCCTTGTCCCAGAACAGAGGAGCAGCTGCAGAACCCAGAATGGGACCCCACTGGAATGGCGCTGACGCAGGTACTGCACCCTCCCTGAAACTAGGAGAGAGGGGAAGACGCCGGCTACCAGGACCTTACGGTATGTGGAGACTGGCTGCAACGGTCCCTTTGCGGTGTTGTGTATAAGTGCGTTCGGAGACAAGCCCTTTCCTGTATGAGAACAGAGCTCAGATTCCTGCTGTGGGTCACACATGCCTTGCCCTACGCTACAACGGATGCAGGGCAAACATGGGCCCTTTGGAAGCAGAGGGTGTTTCAGGGCTGGCCTGTGTTTCTCTCCTCAGCTGCCCTAGACCTCCCATTGGAGCTGGCTGAAGTTTTTCTGGAGCTCACATTCAGATGGCAGGGGAAGGGATCCTGGCTGGGATGCTCTCTGGAGCACAGGTCAGTGTGGACTCATGTTCCTAAGGCATTTAGTGCTGTGGAAATTCCCACCCTACGTCAGCATGCTGGGTGGGCTCGGAGGACCCTGAGGGCCACCTCCCGGCAGAAAGGAGCTGTTGACTCTCAGGTCTGGGGCTAGCGCACAGATCTCCATAGGAACCACCCCCACGATTTGCCTTCCTTGTCAGCTGTCTCGGTGGAGAAGCCAAGGACTGACTGAGCTACCGTCTTACCCATCTCCTACCCCTCCCTGTCAGGACAGAGACACACAGGCAGCTTGGGGGGTGGGGGGAGAGTTTGCACCAATTGTTTTCACCAATTGTTTTCAAGCTACAGATCTGGCCCCCATCATTATAGTCTGTGAGCCCCTCAAGCGCACTGGTTAAATTATCCCAGGTGGGTGGGGGGAGCGAAGGTGTTATCCCCATTTTACAGCACTGAGGCAAAGGATGTTCGAAAGAACTCAGCAGGGTGGGAGCCCATGGGGTGCTAAACTCTTGAAAACCTGGCCACCCGTGTTGCAATGGGAGCTTCTGGTTGCTGGGCACTTCAGAAACTCTGCCCCTTATCGACCCGCCTAAAAGACACCCCTTATTCCCCAAGAAACTCTGAAATGAAGCAGTCTAAATAAACCCCACTACAGAGAGAAATTAACCCTTGTTTTTAAAAAACCCCTCCTGCAAGCAGAGTTTTTCCCGAAAAAGGAGAAGTTGGCAGAGACGCCAAGAGGCTCCTGAGAGCCTTTCTGTTACCGCTGATTGTACGTGGAAAGAGCTGAGAGCCTATGGGGGGTGAGAAGAACGAACCCCGAGATAGAATAGGGAGCTGAGCGCTTGAGAAAATCTGGCCCTCGGTGACTTTGTCAAGGGCAGCCAGGGCATCAGTGGCAGAGTTGGGAGCTGAATCCTGATCTCCTGAGTCCTATGCCATTGTGCTAACCACACGACCTACCCCCGCTCTGCAGAGAGACTGAGAACGTGGCTCCCCAGAGCTGTCAATCAGGCAATTGTCACCAGCACTAAACTCATTTTAAAAGGAACCAGCTGCCACAGAGAGAAGTCTCAGCTCCTTGTGGGCCAGGAGACAGGAAAGGATGGGCAGGGGCGGAAAGGCAGCTTGAGTCCTGCTGTTGCGGCTGTCACAGCCAGGGAGAGACGCTGCAAACCTTCATGGAGGCTGCCTCTGCTGGTCTCTGACCAAGAGGATCTCTGGAGTCTGACCAGCCGTTCTGTCATGCCCCAGCTCTCCCCAGTGCCTGGGACCAATTAGGCTGCGGGGAGCACTGCACAGCTCGCTATCTCTCTCCCAGATTGGTCTTTTGCTAATATCTTTTCAGCCTGCTCGGTCAGGAAGGAGTCAGGGAAGGTAGGGGGAGATGAGGCCTCCAGCCATCAGTCATTCTCAGTGGTGGCAGATGACAGAACAAGGAGCAATGGTTTCAAGTTGCAGTGGGGGAGGTCTAGGTTGGATATTAGGAAACAGTATTTCACTAGGAGGGTGGTGAAGCACTGGAATGGGTTACCTAGGGAGGTGGTGGAATCTTCTTCCTTAGAGGTGTTTAAGGCCCGGCTTGACAAAGCCCTGGCTGGGATGATTTAGTTGGGGTTGGTCCTGCTTTGTGCAGGGGGTTGGACTAGATGACCTCCTGAGGTCCCTTCCAACCCTAATCTATGATTCTATGATGCATTTCTCTGGCCTGCTGTATTAGGGGGTATTTGTCACCTCCCAGAGGTACAATCCTTAGCGTAAGAATTGCAGGCAGGGACCCTACTGGGTGAGCTATGAACCCTGTGTTCTAACACCTGTAGGCAATAAGAGAGGGTGGTGACATTCCTGGCCACCAGGTGTATTTCTATATCATGGCTGTCTCCCCTTTGGCTTTCCCCATGAAATGGTTCCATGAGGGAGGGCAGCATGACTGGTGGCATGTTAGAATTAAAGTTCATGGCTGCTAGAAAATACATATGTTGGTCCCTGTTCAGGGCTGCCCATGGGAAAGCGTGCTCATGGGTGGATGTGTGAGTACCCCGCATGCACTGCACATATACATGCCATGCACATATTCATGCACACGCAGGCATTTGCCTATACAGATGTGTAGGCGCGCATACATAACTATGCACAAACACATGTACAGCTATATAGGCTGACGCACACACACTCTGCATGCTCCCACAAGCATACACATATGCACAGGGCCGTCCCTAGGGGGGTGGGGGCCTGGGAGAAATCAGCCTGTATGGGGCCCCCCTTAACATTTTTTAT